TTACTTCTATCCCCTTTTTTGAAAATGGGCGTTATGTTGGCATGCTTCCAATCAGAAGGATACATATAATAGTAGTATGATTGTTTATATAGTTTTATATTTGACTGTCCAGGGGCTTGAATTCCTGGTCAGAAATTACTCCGGTGAAACAATGACGTTGAAATTTTCACAAATTTTGAGCTTCATTGGTTATGATTTAAAGCCGAAATTTTATCATATGGCAACCAATGTTAATGCATTAACATAATGCATTACAAACAAAACACTTTACTCTTGGATGGAAAAGTATTAGCCTGCCCTAGGTTTAAGTACCAAAAGACTTTTTAACACGTACATTTTTACTGTGTTCACGCAGTATAAAAATACATGTTTACAACATAGAAAGTCAAACTTTTTGTGACATATAGTTTGAATATTTTAAGTAATAACATTTTCATTATGTGAAACAATATTTTATAATAACTGTCTAATGAAAATCACAAAGTTATTACAAAATGCAATTTAGATATTGAAATATAATACCTTTTTTGGAATTACTTAAAAATAAAACAACATTAATTATTTAAATATTTATTTATAGATATTTTTACTTGTTTAATTTTGAGTGTTATGGTGTTCCGTACAACATTTAGTTATCCTGAAATGTGCACATAGCTTTCTTCTACTTCATCACTTAATATTCGGGCCAATTCTGCATACAGAAGCGATTTACGTGCTTATTTAAATAAGTTTCAGGAAAGTGAGATCCGATTACAAGCGGTCAGTCGAGACGCATCCTAATGCCAGGTGTGAACAGGGCCAGAGGTTTCTACTTTGGCAAAAATGATCGTTTTAAGATCAAGGCAGTCTTGGTGCAGACAACATTTTTATAATGAATCAGGTAATTATCCTGAGTTGGGGACTCTCTCTCTCTCTCGAGGACAGAGGTGGAGAATAAGGAGTACACGGGCACTGGGTGCTCGATTATTCATTTACCAGACTAACAGGGTCCCGAGGGACAACAAACAAGCACCATCTCCTGTAGGTCCCATGTGGCCACATGGAGTGTCATACGCAAGATAAACACTGATCTCCATGGCAACGTGCATGTGAACATGTGGGTCTAACACAGCCGGACGGGGACATGGTTGCCTGTATTACCTGTTATTCACTGCGACTGTCATGGCTTATGTTAAGTTTTTAAGCCAGAGCGTTTGTATCACAAGCCTAGAATGTTAACTGCTATGCTAAATAACTTTGGTTCATTGGTAGTGTGAACTGAGTTAATATTAAGCTAATTAGTAAACTATTCTGGGGTGAAGAGCTCCTCTCCTACCTGCAGTACTGCAGCTCACCACCAGAGGATCCATATTCATACTGTAACCATGGCTATTCCTATGCAGTGCACAGCTAATTTATGAGCAGAGGAGAGATGGGACTACAGTAACAGGTTTCTCCATCTGAGGCAATTTTGTTGGTGTGTGGTGGTGAAAAAGTGAGTGTCTGTGTATTAATGATATTGCAGCTGTGTGTCTGGCTTCTCTTTTCCGAGCTGATGCTCCACCGCTTGAACCCTCACCTGGGCTCCTTGGAGACCATTATTTGGAACCAACTAGGACTTTTAAATTATGGACTTGAACTGAATTCCAATTTAATACTGAACCAACTTTAGCTTAATGTTACCGAGTGGATCTTAGCATGCGGTCGAAGCAACGACACTTTCAAACTATTTTTATATCTTCACTTCTTTTAAAATGATAGATGAATCATTAATCTTGAACTAATTTCAATGCGAATACATTTTCATGCACCCCGGTCGCCCAGTGGAAGACGGGGTCCCCATCCGAGTCTATATTCCTCTCAAGGTTTCTTCCTGCTAGAGGGAATTTTTCCTTGCCACTGTCGCCTCAGGCTTGCTTGGTGGGGGTTCGGGCCGGTTATATGTAAAATGCTTTGTGACAATGACTTGTTAAAAGCTCTATATAATTAAATTGAATTGAATTGAATTGGCACGATCAGCAGAGACATAAATGGGTAAGTGACGGACAGCATCTGTGTGGTTGTGTATTTTGGAGCTTCAGCCATATTACGGGCACCAGGTGGTATCCATACCTTTGTTTATGCTGCCCTGTAACTGATTCTGAATGGGGGTCTGACCCTAATCTTTACCCCTGTGTGTCTCATGCTGCAGTCACGATGAGTCCCCACCGTTTCCAAGGCAACAGTTTCATCCACTGGAGCAGACTGGAAATGGCTGTTATGGCGCCCTGGTATGTCGAGATCATGTTCCGCACGCGGCAAGCCAGCGCCATGCTGCTCCATGTGGAGGGAGGACCTCATCACAGCATCACTATCCAGGTGAAAAACTGCTGCATAAATATGAATTGTAGTTTTGAATGCAGTTATTCTACCTTTGATCTTGAGAATTAGTTTTTCATCCAGCTTTCTCTTTAGCACCATCTTTCTTCAGATAAATGTTGCACGGATGTTAGAGCTGTTATGCTTGTACATACTTGTACGCATTTCACTAATAATGAATTATTATTACCAGCTTCTTATTGTTTCATATAAGATTTTGACGCAACTTTCTAAATGATTTCCTTTAATTTAATTAAAAAATTGCAGTACTCAGGCATCTTGACTGTTTTATTGAACAGTTGAACTGTTTGCAAAATTGCTGATACTTAGCGGAAGAGGGTTGAGGGGAGAATTGATTGGCAGTTCAAAGGTCATAGGTCATATGGCTCCTGTGTAGCTCCAGGACGGCGGGCTGCTCCTGTCGCTGCAGTTCGACGAGGACGACACCAGCCTGCTGCATCTGGATGAGCTCAAAGTCAACGACGGAGACTGGCATCAGTTGCAGCTGGAGCTGAGGGGGGAGGGCCGGTCGGGGCACCCCATGGCTCTGCTCACCCTGGATTACGGCCTGCACATGGTGATGTGTACACACGCACAAAGACATGGACACAGGCATGGGGCCCTGCGTGTACTGATCGCGTGTGTCTCTGTACCGTGCAGACCAGCACAGAGCTTAGCGGGAAGCTGGATGGACTGATTCTGCAGACTCTGAGTGTGGGCGGAGTCCCCCAGGAGGCTGGCTCAGTGCTCCAGGGGTTCCGGGGATGTGTGCAGGTGGGTGCTGGCCGGGGAGTGGCAGTATTGGTAAAGGGGGGGTAGGTAATCGCGGTGGGGTGACAGGGGGTGGTGGTGCACATGAGCCTATCTGATGTGAGGGAGTTCAGTCTCTCCCAGCGTACGGGAGTGTGCGTGTGTCTCCATTCTCTCAGGGTGCAACGTGAGGGTTTTTGGCGTGTGAAGGTGCGAGTGTGTAGGTCTTTCGGGTGTCCTGGAGTGTCGTTCTCCCTGAGGTGCACCTCTCTCTAATCCCCAATGGCATCCCCTGCAGGGCGTGCAGGTCGGCAAGGCCTCGGCCGGCACCATATTCCTCTCTATGACTCAGGCCAAGAGCCACAACGTGGAGCCTGGCTGCAGCCTTCCAGACCCATGCGACTCCAGCCCCTGCCCTTCCAGCAGCTACTGCAGCGATGACTGGGACAGTTACTCCTGCAGCTGTGACCCAGGTGCGTGACCTCTGTCCATCCCGTCATCATTGCCATCACCATTACCAGTACCAGTAAAGCCCCCAGTTCAGGTAGCAGAAATCCAATAGCTTCTTTCTAAATTAATCGCCAATATCTCCTCCTATTAGGTTACTATGGTGACAGCTGCACAGACGTCTGCTCTCTGAACCCCTGCGAGCACCAGTCGGCCTGTACAAGGAAGCCCAGCTCGTCCCACGGCTACACCTGCGACTGCCCCGCCAGCTATTTCGGCCAGTACTGCGAGAAAAGGTGAGGGCGCCGGCCACCATTTTTGGGGGCTAAACTCCCCCACATTGCTGTGGCAGCAGGTCTGGGATCAACGGGCATGCCTCTGTACACAGGATCGACCAGCCATGCCCACGGGGCTGGTGGGGACACAAGACGTGCGGCCCGTGCTCCTGCCAGACTGAGAAGGGCTTTGACGCCGACTGCAACAAGACCACGGGGGAATGTCGCTGCAAGGTACGTGTGCCTGCTGCTTTAAGACCCCCCACCCGCCTTCAGCCTCATGCATATCTTCCTGAGATCCAGGGTTGGTGAGGTTACACCCCCCACACATGTGCCGTCCCCTAAATGTCCTCTTTAAGGAATAACAGGACTTAATATAGTACCATGTACAATACGAGAGATATAAACAAAAAAATAAATGAACTGCTGAATCTCTGGAGGATCTGAACCAGAATAAAGCATAAACATGAACATGTAATGAACGAGGCTGTGAACTAGGCGGGATTAAACCACCTCTCCTTCCTGAAGAGGCTCCACTCCTTCGGGCGCATGCAGGTTCCTGTCACAGCAGCTCTGCCAGTCCTTTGTTCTGGGTGCAGTCTTCCCTGCTGTAGTAGGCTGGGGCAAATAAACTAAACAAGAGCAGCCATACAGGACAAGGACAATCAACACGTACCATGTTTCAACCTATTTAAATCATTAGCTCTGCACCCCATATTCCGAACTACCTCATGCATAATTTTGCATTAACTGTAAGTTATAACTTTATAATTTATAGAATTTGTTGTATATGTTTTATTTACATGCTAACTTCATTTCATTGACCCCAGACCTGTACTCAGCACAATAATAATAAAATTCAGTCTAATCTGACCTAAGACGAGCTACTTGGCATCCTGGACAGCAGCTGACACCCCTACATACTTCCCTGCCCTCCCAAAAGTGCTCATTCAGTATCAGATAGTATCAGGATTAGCGGTTCCTTGTCTCTGCCCACCCTCCAGGACAACCACTACCGGCCCTCGGGCAGCGAGACCTGCCTGCCGTGTGACTGTTACCCCGTGGGCTCCTTCTTGCGGGCCTGCGAGCCCGAATCCGGCCTGTGTCCCTGCAAGCCGGGCGTCATCGGCCGCCAGTGTGACCGCTGCGACAACCCTTTCGCGGAGGTCTCCCCCAATGGCTGCGAGGGTGAGTGAGCCTGGCCATCAGGTCCAGCAGGCATTAAGTGGAGCAGGTGTAGCCTGACACCTACTGGTCAAATCCTAAATCGCAGTCGCACACATGGGTATTGAACAGTGTTTCCCAATTCGGTCCTCATGGAGGGAGCAAAAATGTGGACCAGCTGTGGGTCCCCCAGATTGGGAAACAATGGTACGGATAGATGGATGGATTGATGGATGGATGGATGGATATAGTTTTTGAGGAGAAAATTGTGAAAAAAAAAATTTTGATCTCAATTACTTTTTGGCAGACATAGCTAGTGATGTTTGCAAAATCGTTTAAATAAAATACAAATTAAGGCTAGATTGTACAAACATGAATTGAATTAATCTTGGGTTAGACCTAATCTGAGGTTAGTTAATCAGAAACACCTTGCATGTCATAATTTTAACACTGGATTAGTTAAACCAGTTCAAACTATGATTAAAATAGGATTAATTTAGCATCTGCCAGTCCAACAAAATGTAAGTAATTTCACGATGCATTCTAGGCTAAATAAATATGACCCTAAATAAAGTTGACGCAAATGTCTTATGAACTTTTAAAAAATAAAAGTCGCTACTTTAACCACACTTTTGCTTTGCGTTATGCTGATTTGCTTTTACCTTTCACACACAACTTGGACATTAATTGAGCAGTAGTCCTTTCCATTAAAAATGCGGTCACCACCTGGATTAGTAATCAAAGTAACCATGGGAGACACAAAAAGTTCATAGGTTAAACTTCACACATAATTTCATATGAAAAACAATGGAGGTAACTCATTACGTTAGTTACATGTGAGTTGGGGGGGGATTGATGGAGAGCAAAATGGGACACAGCCCGTTATTTATATTTAACTTACATGACCCATGCCATGTTCATGATTCATATTAATTAGATTTTCCTGCATGATGACTGGTCTCACCTTCCCACTGGGGTATATGACACCCTGTTTTGTAAATTCATACTGATTGGAAAACTCACCATCGTTTCAAAAAATTTGGTTGGTTCTATCCTGTCTTGAATTTTCCTATGTGGCACTTTTTCCTCCAATCCCATCCAGCAAAGAAATGTAGCCACGTTGTCAGTAAAACTGAAACAGACCTAACATTAACCTCCTCAAGGTGTGGTTTAAATATGACCGCTAATCCAGCTTTAATACAACATTTAAATTCACTGGTGCAACAGACTTGAATTTAATCTAGGTTTAAGTGGAAATTACACTGAGATTACCAAAGGTTTAGATTTATCCAGGAGTAAGTGTAAACTATGTTTGGTGCAACTGGATTAGTAGATTAGAATCTTGATTTAATCCAGTTCAAATGTTAAGCCATATTGGTGCAAGTCAGCCTAAGTATTGTATTTTAAATGGATTAACTTCGCACAAGGAAGCATAGAGGAACAGAAGAGGGAAACGTTCTGCTCTTTGAATTGCTATATCGGAACATTGGCATTTGCTGTAATAATAATGAGTGTCACTAAGTGTCACTTTCTCCTTGACCTGCCTGCTGCTTTTCCCCACAGTGATCTACGACAGCTGTCCCCGCGCCATCGAAGCCGGTATCTGGTGGCCACGGACCAGGTTTGGTCTGCCTGCCGCTGTAGCCTGTCCCAAGGGTTCCATCGGTATGTCTGTCAGTGATACAGTTAATAATCCTATTCGGGGCACAAAGGCACTGGCTTTAAGTGTTAGGCTGGGCTGAAGCATCAGTTGTCCCAAGGAGCTAAAATATGAGACTTGACCGGCTGTCAGCTTTAATCTCCAGCGAGGGACCAGGTTTCATAATTGTTTGCCTGAGCGAGTTGATGCCGTATGTGGGGATCACCTTGTCAGTAATGTTAGTTTCACACAGCGAAGGTGATGTCACCCTCCCTCCACCCCCCCAGGCACCGCCATACGCCACTGTGACGAGCACAAGGGCTGGCTGTCCCCCAACCTCTTCAACTGCACGTCTCTCACCTTCGCCAGCCTCAAGACCATTGTATGTGTGAAACTCACTTCAGCTTGTGTGCTTTTCTTGCTGTTTGCCCAAGCCAACCCTTAAATGCTTCATGAGAGATGCTGTTCAACGCCAGCACCATAACGTCAAATCCAAAAGGAGAGTCAGGAGTGACTTATTACTTGTATTATTAGGATTCTCAAAATGAGTTTATGACAATTGTCACAGCCATGAACCCTAAAAATATTTAACTGAAGGAAATATTTAGTTCAAGGGGTTAAGGAGTCATGGTGTTCAGTTAGAAAATCCCAAGTACATTGTAAGGACCATAATTGAATAAGTTTCAAAGGTTTTTATTTAACTACGTATGTGTAACAATAGAGTACCGTTTATTTTAATTGCCAAGGTTATTTATCAGTGTAAGACTAATTTGGCTACTTGGGACTGGAGGTATGATCTGTCGAGGCTTATTGTTTCACATCCAAACTGATCTTCATTCTTAACAGAAGATAATACCAGATGATGTCATTTGGGTCTATATGTAAAACTACCCTGTCCTTGGATGAAGTGGCAGGCTTTCTTACCTGGCTTACACAACCAGTAACAAACAAGAAATAACACAGCGCAGTGTCATGTAACTGGGGCCTTGTTATGTTGTGCTGCAGGCTGACGAGCTGGCAGCGAACATATCTGGCCTGAACCCGGGGAGGGTGTGGCAGGCGGCAGCCATGCTCAATAATGCCAGCCAGCACACGCAGGCCTACTACGGCAGCGATGTGCGGGTGGCCTACCGCCTGCTGCAGAGCCTGCTCCAGCACGAGAGCAAACAGCACGGCTTCGGCCTGGCCGCCACTCAGGACGTGCACTTCAACGAGGTCAGGCACACTCACGCGCAACCACACGCATGCCATAAATACCCATAAAGCCCAACTGAGCTGAACCAATCGAGACCGATGGCTTATGAGAATCCTAGTGCAGTCTAGGTTTACCCGGACCCCTCACCCCTCCTTGCAGAACCTGCTGCGGGCAGGTAGCGCCATCCTGGCCCCGGAGACCCGGCCGCACTGGGATCTAATCCAGCAGACGGAGGGCGGCTCTGCACTGCTGCTGCATCGCTATGAGACTTACGCCAACACGCTGGCCCAGAACATGCGGAAGACCTACCTCAGCCCATTTACCTTCGCCACGCCCAACATCGGTGAGCCAGATGTCTCCCCACCAAGGCGTGTGGGGAGTCTCTGCTGCAGTTCAGTCATACGCACTGGGCGGCATAGAGCACTGCTTTTACGTAAAAACAAAACTGAGGAGTATTTCCTAATCCGGATGAGAAATAGCACAGCGTACTGTCGTTTTATCTACGCCACCTTCCTTAGTCACTTATTCAGGTCCAAAAAGGGACACTTTGCAGGGGATGTCAGTCCATCCCAGTGCAAAACACACACACACACACACACACACACACACTCACACACAGGTTTGTAATTATATCTTTGTGGGGACTCTCCATTCATTTCTGTGAGGTTAACTCCAATCCCAACCTGACGACCTTAACCCCTACCCAGCCCTAACCTTAACCATAAGTAACCAAACATAATACGAGACTTTTGGCATATTTAGTAGTTTAATTGTATTCACAGATTTTTTAAAAATTGACGTTTATATTGAGGGGACCTGAAAATTGTCCCCACAAGCTAAAAAGTATTAGCTATTACCACATTAGTCGTACAGCTTAGGTGATGTAAATGAGAGCTAATAGTTCGCAACTTATTATTATTGGCTTAGTGGACAAAAAGCTTTAAGAAGATGGATGGATGGATGGATGGATGGATGGATTTTTTTTTTTTTTAACATAAAGTTGCATTTGACACCATCAGCCATTAATGCACTTTCGTACTTTAGCCAAGAGCATGGGATTGGTTGACCCCTACGATTTAAAAAGTACTAATTACTTATGACTCACCCACCCCGTTGCGGCCTATTTGGAGTCTAAACACTGCTTGACAAGCTCCAGTTCTGCCCTCAGTGTTTGCACTTCCTATTCCTACCCCCCCCCCCCCCCCCCCAGTCGTCTCAGTGGACCGACTGGACAGAATGACCCTGGCGGGGGCCAGGCTGCCACGCTACGAAGCCCTGCGGGGGCCGCGACCTGCCGACCTGGAGACTTCCGTCACCCTCCCTGACCCGTCGAGTGCAGGGCAGACTGGAAACCACACATCCTCCAGGGGGCGCCGTCACCCCGCCGAGGACAGGAGGGAGGCCTTCGCCAGCGTCATCATCTACCACAGCTTGGCTGCTCTGCTGCCTCAGAACTATGACCCTGACAAGAGGAGCCTCAGGTAAGTGGGTGTCTGAGCATATTTGGCCCACACTCATACACTGGGGGGCAGGCCTGAATGACCCTGGTCTTGGGGCCTCTTACACAGGGTGCCCAAGCGGCCAATCATCAACACTCCGGTAGTCAGCATCTCAGTGCACGATGAGGAGGAGCCACCCCTGCAAAAGCTGGAGAGACCAGTGACCGTGCAGTTCCGCCTCGTGCAGACAGAGGAGCGCACCAAACCCATCTGTGTCTTCTGGAACCACTCCATCCCGTGAGCAGTCTGGTCACTCCATTATAGCCGGTCCCCTTCTGGAAGTGCCATGTAGAAATGCCTTTATTCCCTTACGCCCTTTGGGCATTCATTCAGTCAATATGACAAAAACTGGAGAGAGTGGTATTGTGATGTTACAGGTTTCAACCACAAGAGGGCAATCTGTCCAACTTTTAAAGAAAGATTGGTATCCCTGTGTATTCTCAAGTAATTTGTGTGAAGATCTCACAAATACACATCTTGTTGAGATTTAATTTAAGAATCATAAGGGAGTATTAAAAAGTATTTGCCGTCGGCGGTGTTGACTCGTAGTATTCGTGTGTTCTGTCACATGCAGATGCTCAGAAGCATTTAGTTGAAACAGCATCGTTTTGTATGTCATCTTTTGCCATTGGCATTTGTTAATATTGCAAATAAAGTTTTAATAATTTAAGAATTTTGATGAAGTTTAGTCATTTAATTTTCAAGTTCAGTGAATTTAGTAAACTACTTTGGAAGTTACTTTGGAACTAAGCTGTGGTTGTTCAAACTGGGCTAGAGGCTTTGTAGCAGCAAGGCAGAAACCGCCGGTGATGCTGACTTTACTCCTCAGAAGTCCTTTGACGGTCATGAAGGTCATTCTGCCAGCTGTCCACACTGTAGTGTGACTACACAGATGTGTTTTCCGGTACATTCCCCACTCTCTGCTGCCTGCAGGGTTGGGGGCTCAGGTGGATGGTCGACAAAGGGCTGTGAGGTGGTGTTCCGCAATCACACCCACATCAGCTGTCAGTGCAGTCACATGACCAGCTTCGCCGTTCTGATGGATGTATCTCGGCGGGAGGTGAGTAGGAAGTAGGAACTCTTCCCCTGCCACGTGTGTGCGTGTGTGTGTATATATTTTAGATATTATATTTGTTATGTTTTTTATTGGGCCAAGATGAGATTCTTGTGTGGGATTTTTAGTTCTCAGTTATTTCTTATGTTCTTATGTTCTTATTTATTTATTTACCAGTAATGTTCTCTCTTTGGTTTCCCTCTTGTTCATCCTCTGGCTTTCCTGTATCTTGCCTTTCCCCCTTGTACCAACCTGTTGCCCCCCTGCTGTTCCTCCCCATCTCCCCCGCACCCACCATCCCTCCTGATCGCCCCACCATGTACCACCCCCCCCACCCAATCCCACCCCCACTGTCCTTCACCTACGCCAACCCCCCTCCCCACCACTTGCTCTCCCGCTCCCATACCCTCCACCAATTTCTCCCTCTGTGGACCAGAACGGGGAGATCCTGCCCCTGAAGGTGATCACATGGAGCACTGTGGGGGTGTCCCTGGGCTTTCTCATCCTCACCATGGTCTTCCTCGTCTGCACGAACACCACGCAATGCAACAGGACCAGCATCATTAGCAACGGCGCCTTTGCCCTCTTCCTCTCTGAGCTGGTGTTCATCCTGGGCATCAGTCAGGCCGACAACCCGGTAAGCATGTGACACCCGCAGCAAAAATCACATGTATGGTCTAACCAATCAACCAAGAAAAACAGGATTTTTCGCTTTTATGCAACACTATTTTTGTGGGGGGTCATCAAATATCAAAGCGGACATTCTTGCCCTGGAACTGGACAGATGATCTTAGCTACAAGGAATACCAGTATCATTGTTAATCACTTTCAGTGGTGCGCCTCTGCTTAAGAGTGAGCCAACAGTGCCATTGTCTACACTCTAGCAGTTTCTGAACAATGACACGAGTCCTCTTAGTGTGCAGTTTCTTGCTTTTTTAAAGATGATGTTACAGATTAATTTACATTCACTCTTAAATAGATCTATTTTTCCCGTAACTGTACTCTGGTAATTTTATACCACACGGTCAATTATTATCCAGTGAACCATATCAAATCATACAGTATTTAGAGATTTTTATAAACTGTTAAATCAGCCATTTCTTGGAACCTTAAGCATGGCTGTATAGCAAATGACATTTTTATTGATGCAGCCATGTGTGGTAGGGGGTGTGAGCTGATCGACCTGCCCGTGTCTTTGTCCTCCTCTCCTTTGCAGTTCCTGTGCACTGTCATTGCCATCCTGCTGCACTTCCTCTACATGTGCACCTTCGCGTGGCTCCTGCTGGAGGCGCTGCACTCCTACCGCATGCTCAGTGAGGTGCGCGACATTAACTATGGCCCCATGCGCTTCTACTACATGATTGGCTGGGGTGTGCCCGCTTTCATTACAGGTAAGCTCCTCATGCTGTATTGTCCTGATAGGTGTTTAATATTTCCTGATGTCCAATAGGGAGGGGTCTTGCCAACTCACCCATGATGCAATACTCCTCACCATACCAATGTCACAATTCAGTGCATCACAGTATTAACTTTGTATCCTCATGGTTAACATTCTGTTATCTACTGAGGATGAGTCAGTACTTTGAATGAAGTTGTTGCACATTTAAACTTCCATCACTGTTTTTAAAATGGAAAAAGTGCAAAGTGACTTGTACTTTACTGTTTCAGAGGTAGTCACTTTACTGCATTTTTTCATTGCAATACACTTAGCATAGGCTACATAAACAGCATATTTTTAATCAGCAAATGTTGAAAAGATGTTTGCAAAATACTTTAAAACATTTGATTCGATCATCTGCCAGTGTTAAATGTTACTGCAATAGATGAATAAATTGATGCAATGGTTCAAAATATTGATGAAAAATAATTTCAAACTGAATCAATTTAACGGTCAATTACAGCATCGATACATCTGATTGATGTCTATGGTGCACTTTAAAGTTGAGGTGTTGTATTGTGTACATATAAAATGGCAGCCTGCTTACCCCCCGTCCCCTTACGGGCTGTTCTTTCACTCCCTCAGGCTGGTCTTCTAGTCTCTCACCCTCTGCGGTAGCTCAGCACTTTCCTGGCCTCTTGCGCTCACTGTGTGCGTCACTTCTGCAGGGCTGGCGGTGGGCCTGGACCCCGAGGGCTATGGGAACCCTGACTTCTGCTGGCTGTCCATGTATGACACCCTCATCTGGAGCTTCGCGGGGCCGGTGGCAGTGGCAGTATCTGTGAGTGTTACCCATCTCGCACATCCATACGTACAAACAAAGAACAAAAAAATACATTTGTCTAATCATTTTCTGCTGTACCATCACAGATGAGTGTCTTCCTCTACATTCTGGCAGCCAAGGCATCTTGCTCTCGACGACACCAAGGATTAGAGAAGAAAGCTGGACCGACGTGAGTGCCTCATCCCCTGCCTGACTGAAAATCCCATCCCATAACAACAGTCATTAAAGGATCACTCAATTTCTTGAAAGACCCATATAATCGATTCATGCAGGCATCTGGGTCACACAGTTTGCTTAAAGTCAAAATGCACAGTGGGAGGGACTGCTACGTGCTCTCAGTGAGATTGGTTTACCCCACTTATCCTTAGTGACCTGGATGGAGGATGGACGGCAACAGCTAGCCTTCTGACTAAGGATGCTGAGTGCCTTGGGTCTAGTCTCTGGTGGTGCCTAATCTTCAGCATGATATTTACCCGTTCTTGTTTAAAACAAGATAAAATATGCTATGCAAATGAATACGAGCTGTAAGTCAGTTTGGATAAAACCATCATGTAAATTACTAAAAGTAAATGTACTATTTCCCATTGGATTAAACCAGGCAGGCACATGTCACAATGTCATTGGTTTCCTAAACTCAATTTTCGCATCACTATTCTCTATACTTCTGTCTGTATTAGGAACTCAGGAGTGACTCTAGGGTTTTTAAGGTGGATGGCATAAGAGGGGCCATCATTCATACATAGGTACCAACCTTATTAGCCAATGATGTTTTGAATCAGTGATTGACAAGGAGCCAATCAGCTTAAAGCTGGGGCTAGTGCCCCTGTAGCCCCGCCCCTTATATACCCCAGCTGTATATCGATATTGTGCTGAACACCTCATGTGGTATGATATCTATACTCTGAGTGGACAGGCTTATGTCATAGTGGGTCCCTCTTTCTCCCTGCAGGTCCAGCCAGAGAACAGCATGCTGGGTGCTTCTCCTGGTCACAGTCACGTGGCTTTTAGCTGTACTGTCCATCAACAGTGACTCCATCATTTTCCACTACTTGTTTGCTGGATTAAACTGTGTGCAGGTAATGACCAGGCTGATTTATGACCTGCACCTTGTAGGCTTGGTTTTAGTTGGAAATAATCTCTCCATGTAGTGTTTGTTTGACGCATGAACATTCTTATAAATAATATAAAAGTTTTATTGAACAGTGGTTCTCAGCTTTTTTTATCCAATGACTGCTAGTGTCCAGAAAAAAGGCTATGATTTTGTTTCTCTTGTATGCATTCTGCACTGATGACAACAATTGCTGATGTTTATTTTAATTTCGTTACACTTCCAAAGTATTTTCTTTTGAACATGATTCAAACAAGGTTTCATCCCACTATGTTCACCAATACCTGAATGTTTATGAACAAAAAAGACTAAATCAACAACCTGTTTGGCAAATGACTGTACCATCAGAAGCCTCACAACCACTAAGCGTGTACTTAATAAATGAAAAGACCCTCATTCGAAGGTATTATCATTCAAGAAAGTAAACCAAATATTTCAAATTACAATATTTTCTTTTCAAGTGAGAATTCACATCTGGGCCTGCATGCATAAAACTTCCTAAGAATGGTCTTAAGAATGGTCGTACACTTGGACTTAAGAGTTAAAAAAATCTTAGCAAAAAGTAGGACCGAAGAGCATTGTATAAAGCTGCTAAAAGTAACTTTCAGCAAAGTCTAAGCCCAATTCCTAAGTGCTGACGGAGCCAGCATTTAAGTGTCGTGAAATGAGGACTACAAATAAAATCCCGCCTTAAATACTGAGTTCAACCAATAGAGGAGCTGCACGGTGAATATATTAGTGACATTAAACCGTTAATGTAGAGCTTTATACAACATACCTTTCTGTGATCATACCTTTAATTGGTTGTACGAAAATCTACCTAGCACACCACCAATCAATTTCCACTAATAGATGCACATGTAGTATAAATTATGGGTCAAAAGCAAAACTCATAGCAAGACATTGGATTCTAAAATAAAACCAAACTGGATGACAAACAAAACGGTTCTTTTGGCACAGTTGGTGCTTAAATGGAAGGAGGTAGTGCGAGGAAAGTTTGGCTCAGCTGTTACAAGCACGGACAGAAAAAGCTTAGGAGGCTATTGCAAGCTCCGTAAATGCTGTGTTACCTCGGACAAGGCGTTCAGCAGAGGAATGGGAAAAAAGGTGGTATAATGTTCTATCGCCCTCGCGAAAGGAAATCACAGTTTATAAAGCAAGCATGCAAGCTACAGGTTTGTGTCATTACTTATATTGCTCTTTTGACCCTCGCTATAATAGATGATGATGATAATAATAATAATTATTATTATATTTTCCAGTTGCCAAAAACGTAGCATCATT